CGCCCCAATCCAGATGCCTCCGGAGGTCGTCAGTAAGAGCGACCAGTGCTGTCTCCATCCCATGTCCTGGGCGAAAGCCGGACTGGAAGGGATCTAGCGTGGAAGCGTCATCCATGAAGCCCTGTAACTGTAACGCCACTGCCCTCTCAATTAACTTGCCCAAATAGGGCAAGTTGGAAACCGGCCAATTCGGCTGGGTCCAGAGATGGCTTTTTTAAGAGAGGGCGGACCATCGCTTCCTTGAGCGCCCTCGGGAACAGCCCCTCCAACAGGGACTTGTTGATAATATCCCTTTGGGTGCCTTGCAACTCTTCATGGCCAGCTTTAATAAGCCAGGAAGGGCATGGATCCAGGTTGCAAGTGGTTGGGTGTACAGTCAAGAGCAGTCTGTCAATTTCCTCCAGGCTGAGAGGGTCAAAGTAATCCAAAACTGACATCGAAGATGCGCTTGGGGCCCCAAGCTCACTTACTGTTTCAACTGTGGTGGGGAGGATGCGGCAGAGAGACAAGACCTTATCTGCGAAATAGCTCACAAATGCCTCACAGCCAATGTCCAATTCCCTAGCATTTGGCCTGCCCTGTGGCAGAGTTGTTATAGACTGAATCATTCTAAACAATTGGGCTGGGCATGAGCTCGCAGACACAATTGTAGCCGCAAAGTACTCTCTCTTTGTGGCTTTGACTGCCATCTCATAGGATCTCATAAGCGTTCTATAGGATGTTCTTGTAGCTTCGTCGCGAGCACGGCGCCACAATCTCCCTAGTCGTCATAGCTCTCACTTCACAAGCCACAACTCCTAGGTATACCAGAGGGCAAGCCTAGAGCAAGGGCGCAGAGGGCGCCAGGGAGCAATCTCATTGATGGCTGCAGAGAGTCAACTATGCCAGTCCTCCACAAGCTCATCCAGTGAGCCGCCAGGTGACATCTGATCACGTAGAGCCATCTGAAGCCGCATTGGGTCCATTTGGCTCTGCGGGTGAGCTAAAATATGCTTGCCGCCTAAACAGGGTCGGGGCGGGACATTCAGATGAGCCCCCAGGGCATGGTGGTCCAACCATGGGACTGCCGTAGCAGTAACCCGGTCCACTGTTACCTCCACTGCGAAGATCAGATCGAGCGTATGCCCACCTTGGTGAGTGGGGGCCGTTACATATTGGGAAAGTCCCAGTGCCGCCACGGACGACACCAGGTCCGCTGCCTGAGTGGAGGTCGTGTCATCGACATGGACATTGAAATCACCCAGGACTATCAGTCTAGGATGTTCCAGTGCCCAGCCTGATACGGCCTCCATCAGGAACGGCAGGCTATCAGCCAGAGCGTTAGGCGGTTGGTACACCAGCCAAATCGCCAAACTCTCCCCGGCTTCCCACGCCAGGCCGACACACTCAATGCCCGTGATCCTTGGCAGCGAGAGCGCCCTGAAGTAGTAAGCCTCTCGAATGAACAGGGCCACTCCCCCCCCACTCCATAGTCCGCGATTGGTGAAGGACCGAGAACCTGGGAGGAGCCAACTGTGAGAGAGCCACTGTCTCCCCATCACGCACCCAGGTCTTGGTCACACACACCAGGTCCATATCCCGCTCCAGCAGGAAGTCACGAAGGACTATGGTCTTATTATTTAAGGACCTGGCATTGCACAAGACCAATGACAGAGAGGGGTTGTCAGTCCGAGCCCCACTGCCAACTACCTTTGGGATGGGACGTAGGCTGGAAGGGGACCGAGCCTTCCTGTATCTCAGTCCCCTTCCCTTACATTTATGCCTAGTCCCACTGCTGTACTTTCCCCGCCCCGTGAGCACTGGTATCCCTTGGCCAGCCATCGCCACTAATGGTCTTCGCTAAGCCACAGACCACTAATAGGTTGTTTGGTAAGTGGCAATGTAGGGATACTATAGCAATTCTCTCTGCCGTGGTGATCATCCTAGATAGGCTCGAACAAACCTATATTATCCTAACATAAATTAATTCTAATACTCTAACAATTTGGTGCTAAAATCGCTCTCATACACTGGTCAGTAAAAATATAACGGCCAGTGATAACATCCCACTTTGCTCTTTGGCACTAACTATATATTCCAACCCCCCAATTTGTTAGACAGCTATTTCACTCAGAAACAGTCCCTAGTAATTAATTGGTTAATTCCATACACATTCATTCCTCTACCTTAATCTGGCATGATTTTAAATCTCTACTCCTCCCTTTAGTTAATTACACACACATTTAGACCTTAATCAATAGCAATGGCTACCCTACTATAGTTACCCCCAACTAACCTCAACATCAAATTAATTATGATCCCATTCTCCTAGTTCTAATGTTTGGTAGCTGCTTGTCACCTTCTCTACTCCACGTATGCACTCCAGTGCAGCGTCTCTGATTGCTACCTGCTCTGTAATAAGGCAGGTCTCTTTTTCAAGTCCTGAAAGACTTCCTCGGTCATGGACTCCCCCGTCACCTCTCCAATGTGCCCTGCGGCCCTTGGTCGTAATTCCTGCCTCCCAAGGCCCTGAGGGATCTTGCTGCCGGCTGGTTGGTTTTGCACGGCTAGGCTGGTCTCCAGAAAAGGGGGGAGACCCTCTCCCGAGCCCTCCGGCTGGAAAACAGTGCCATTGCACCTGCAGCAGCTGCAAGCGGCAAGCAGGTGGGCAGCAAGGGCAGCCGACAACAGAGCACAGAGGCAGGCATGACTGTCTCAGAGAGTGACCGTGGCGTCCCAGAACGTGGCTAGCGAGTGGGCCAAAGAGAAGCCAGCCAGCCACCGGCTGCCCCTCCACCATCAATGTGCTCACCCGACAAGTTTGACGAGCCGCCCTGCTAGGACAGAGAAGGTACCGCCCGGCTGATAGAGAAGCCAGCAGCCACCAGCTGCCCCTCCACCGTCAATGTGCTCACCCGACAAGTCTGATGAGCCGCCCCGCTAGGACAGAGAAGGTACCGCCCGGCTGAAACAAGAAAGGCTGTTGTTGCAATGTGCGAACGAGCTGAGAAGAAGCCAGTGGCCACCGCTCACCCTGCCGCTCACCCAGCAGCTCACCCGGCTACCACCAGCACACTTGCCTGGAGAGTTGCTTGAAAAGTCCGAGGAGCCGCTCCGCGGAGCACTCAGAGTTGGGCCGTTTCCAATCGCCGTGAGACACTGGGAGACCCTGTGCCAAGCCCCCCTCTGGGACAGGGAAGATATCTGTCTGAGAGTTTTTGGTCTCTGAGCTTGCATCGCTATGGTGCAGGTGGTGCAGATAGGGGTTGGCAGCTAGCGAAGAACTGCTAAGTTTGTTGTTTCAGGGACGAGCCTCTAGCACTAGGCTCCACTCCACACCGCCATTTTGTAGCAAATGAATGTGATACAGGAAAGAAAAAGACACTCAGGATTTGTGAGACTTTTGGAATGAATGCAGCTGGTAAATCTTATGAGGAGAAGCAGTAGAATATTTAGGTAGCAAAATGTATTTCTTGTCATCCAGAAGACATAATTCGCTCCAGGCTTCTTATTAGTTACTCATTTTAATTTGTTCTTCTGGCTTTCATTATAACGTATGTGGCTCACTTACATTTTAGTGAGATGTTTGCAGCAAGCTTTTATGAACGGGCCTAAGGACTTCTTGTCCTCAGGACATCTACAAGTAGACACTGAGTTTTATTTATTTTTTCTCCCTTTTCTGCTAATAATAAGATGGGAAATGTGGAGACACAAATCTTTTCTAGGCATATATTTCATTCATTTCTACTTATATGCATTCATTCATTCATTCATTCATGTATTCATTCATTTTAATTTCAAGGGCCACTGTCTTTAGTCTCCTGAGGGGATATTTATTAGCATGCAAGCACTGTATGGCTCTCTGTATGGGGGAATATTTGATTTCCAAAAGTTACATTTTCTCTTGTGATAATTACAAATGGCTCAGAGAATTATTTCTTTTGTATGTTGAAGGGCAAATCAAGCTGGCAGACTGTCAGATCCCCAGTTAAAACACTCTGCACAACACTTTTGGCAGTGATGCTTTATTAGAGATATGCTTACTACAGGAATGGGTTCTTTGTCAGTACTGAAGAAAGCACACGAAATTCAGAGGTTATAGGTAAAACCCAATGCACCCCCACATCCCATGCATACTTCAGCATTCAGCCACTAGCAAATCTGTGACAACCCTGACAGATATACGATGTCTTATCTACACTAGCCTAGCGAAAGAGTCCTCAAGGCCAAATCCCATGAGAACAGGCTGAGGGGTGCAGCTTAAGAAATAATTATGGATACTACAGACAAGCACTCAACCCACACACACTCCCCTCAGGAATTCCCTCCCCCCTAAAGCATGGCAAGGTGAAGCAGAACAGAGAGAAGTGAGACTGAAACCTTGACACAGACATTAGACAACTAGCCTTGAGCTCCATATTTCATTCTGTGAAATTATTTTGACTCCATAGGTTGAACAACTGCATCTAACTTCCTTTTTCTATATTAGAATACAGACAAACAGATTTTTAGACAAAGGGGGAATCATGTGTAATTTAAAATACATACAATTCCAACAGTCAAGCTGTTGATAGCCTGATTGCTCTGAGTTATTATCAATATTGGGGAATATGAGATATTATAAAATAGCAATAGGCAATAATGGAACAAACACCTTTATATACAGGGGTCCCGCTTCTTCCAGAAGCATCAGAAATAGACATGGAGGCTAGTTTCAATATAAAATGATTCCTTTACTGTAGATTCATCACAAGCAAACAATACACACGCACACATACAATAATTAAACATTCATGCATAATATACAGACTCAAGGAAGCAGAGGTGATTGATAGCTAATGGAGGGGTCATGGGGTGATACTACCTGTCCAGACGTGTAGAGGTCCATGAAGAAAGGGTGGTGACCCAAAACCCAGAGGGTTCCAGTGGTGGACTGCCAGTTGGCATCATGGCAGAAAACACACCGTCTGAGGCCATGTGTTTGCTGGGATATAGCCATTGGCAAACAATACGGACCAATGGGTGGCCCTGGGGGCTGGTCTCAGGTGAGAACAATAGATTACCTGGACCAATGATAAGTCCCAGGGATGTGTGGCATCAGGATGGGCAAGGCCTAGATGTGACCCATAGATCCCCTGAGCCGCTGCGCAGCTCCTCCCCGGCACGATCAGATGCCGGGGGGAAGCCACTTACGGGAGACCGAGGCTGCCGAACTGCAAATTGCTCCAGAAGACTGCCTAACAGTGTTATTGCTTTCTGTATCTGTGTTTTTATGTTTCTTTTGTTTTTGGATTTTATGTGTGTGGGTACTATAGCTAAACATTAACCACTTTGATGAAATGTGTCACAATGAATGTCTGAAATTTGGTGAATGTCAGTAGTCACATGTGAATATTTGCAACTGGTGATCATCTGCATTCACTAACATATGTCTGAAAACTGAAGAAATACATACCTGCTTTCAAACGGTCACAAATTTATCAGAGATTCTTACGCATCACATATATATTTTGACATCCACCAAATTTCAGGTGTTCATTTAACACTCCTAGTCATGCAAGTATAGTATGACACAAAATCTACATTAAATAAATGTGCATGTGATAAAATCATATGAATCAGGATAACTCTTCCAATGGTTATGAATTGAGAGAATGTCTAGACAATCAATCCTGAACATTCAATTAGGTGATGAGCTTTCTACGGCTACATTTTGGAGTACCATCTTCTTGCTTTCATACTGCTTTTGTTTTCTTTTTGTTCATAAATAATAATCTGTCTGTTGACATTTGCCACTTGTGATTCCTAATCTGTTGATTGGTTTCTCAATCATGTCCCTTTATCTCCCTTCAGGGACCACAGGGCAAGTCAGGCCTTGCTGGGCTTCCCGGTGCAGATGGCCCTCCTGTAAGTATAAGTATATACTATTAGATTTCCCTGCTACTCTTATTGTTAAGTCACTTTTGCAGTTTCATGGTCATGAATTTCAACAAGAAAAGTTCATCACTGAAAGCAGAAATTATAAAACATATCTAGTTTCATTATTTGAACTCTATATTTCTAGTCTTAAGTTTGTCCGAAATGACAGGTGAGAGATTGGAGTGACGATGAAGTAGAAATCACTCATATACATAACTTCCTTATTCTAGTACAAATTCAAAGGGATTTAATAGAAATATTAGGAGAGAAATCAGTTAAAGCACAGATTTATGCTTGTGGGCAAAACATCTGCATTCCTTTGGGGGATTTACAGTGCAATCCTAAGAATACTTTTCTTGGGAGTAAGCCCCATTGATTGTGAGTAGACCTGCTTAGGTTGCTCTGTTAAAAACATAACTTTCTGGGGCAAATAACTGTCATTACAAACTAACAAAATGAAATTATGGGTGACTAATTGCAGTTAATCATAACCACATGTCTTCTGACATGTCCATCCCTAACAAATACATTCTGGTGTATACTTTCTTGAGCCACACACATCCCGCTTGTTCAGATGAATGAAGCAGTCACTAAATTCGGTCGCTACATGTGTGTGTGTGTGTGTCTGTGTAGTAATCACACATTTGAGGGTGTTAATTGCTACTCTTGTTCTGGATTAATCAAGATGTTGAACTATAACAGATGCTGATGCTTCCCTTTGCTTGCAGAAGTGATTTTACTACTTGTCAAATCAGAATTTTCCCTGAATGTGTCGTGGCTTGGCAACCTTTTCTGGCACACAGGATCGATAGCAATCATGACACTTCAGTGCAGAAAAAAAAGTGACTGAATGATTGGCTTTGTATCTGGTCCTTTCTCCATCCTGCTGTGTGCCTCCTTCTATGAGGGTATGGCACTCTAATAGGAAAGGCATTATTGCTCAGTCACAGAGTGCAGTCTTTGCATTTACCAGGTCCCCGGTTCAGTTGCCAGACTCTCACGTTAAAAGAGTCTTGGGCATCTGGGATGGGAAAGACCTCTGGAATGCTACTGCCAGTTGGAGTATACAGCCCTGGACCAATGTTCCCTCTAAGCTGAGTTAGTGTGAGCTAGCTCACACTAACTCAGCTTAGAGGGAACACTGCCCTGGACTATATGCTCTGGTAACATCCCGGTTATGTTTTTGGGGAGTGTTGCATATGAAACTGCCTTCAAAAAATGTTGAAAAACTTCAGTGAAGGGCAAGCTTCAGCAGATAGTAAAGTGACAGCTGACCACCATCCACATATCACCCCAGTGTCAAAAGGTCCCCATTGGCTTTCAGTTTGTTTCTGGTCTCAATTCAAAGTGCTAATGATTACTTTTAAAGCTTTAAATGACCTACTGTCTGGGGAATTGTTTCCTGCATTAACCTAGCTGTCAGTTACAAGTGTTATATGAGATGCTACTTTGTGTACCCCCCACAACGTTTTTGAGTATGGCAGGCCTTTTTTATTCTGGTGCTGTGGCTTTGGAACTGACTCCTCAGTCAGTCCTATTGTGCTTTAAATGGTATTTAAAAACCCTTCTGTTTTTTTGTAATTTCTGTTCTATTATTTAGAAAATGTCTATATCACCTCTCCAGAGATCTGCTTGTGTTGGCTCACAAAGTGAAATTATACAATAAAAGCATAAAAGCCACAATATAAAATTCATCATACACAATCCATAAAATCTAGCAATAAAAACAAGCCTTAAAAAGCAAGCATAAAAACAGCATGAAACAACAGTCAACAGCCTAAAATGATCTTTACTAAACAGTCCTCAGATTAGCAGACTGCCAAGGAAGGGAGGGAGGGAGGAGGAGGAGATTGGATTTATACCCTCCCCTTTACTCAGAGTCTCAGAGCGGCTTACAAACTCTTTCACCTTCCCCTCTCCACAACAGACACCCTGTGAGGTAGGCGGGGCTGAGAGAGCTCTTTCCAGAATTGTCCTTGAGAGAACAGCTCTGACAGAAGTATGGCTTGCCCAAGGTCATCCAGCAGCTGCAAGTGGAGGAGTGGGGAATCAAACCCAGCTCTCCCAGCTTAGAGTCCGTGCACTTAACCACTACACCAAACTGGCTCTTAAGGAAGAAAGGGAGGGAGGGAAAGGAGCAAAAGTACAGGATAAAACAAAAACACTTTAAAATAATTTGAGTTTTATACCAAATAAATTGCCATGGTATGGTGATCTCGCCCTGTTCCCTCTCTCACATGTAGGATTTTCCCTTAATTTTTCCTTCCTTTCTGGCTGAGCAGCCCTTTTATCTATTTTCTTCTTATTTGTAGGTTTATGGCTGTCCCACCCTGTCATGTTATTATATTTTGATGCTGCCTCTGTGGCGTCCTTCCTATGGGGGGGGGCTGTGTTTCCTTTAAATCATACTCTGTGACGTGCTTGCTTTTAGAGGAAATGGTTTTACCTTTTAATTCACACTTTGTGTATATAAACTTGGCAGTTTCTGCTGCCACCAGGAATTTAAAATTCGAACTCTCTCTCCTTTGGTAGTGTAACCCAGGGTCTGGGCACTTCAGAGGACTATGTGGCCCTGAGGAAGTACTGTACTGTATTCTGGGATATTTAAACAAAAATGGATTTATTGAAATAAGAACAAAATAGGTTTCTGGAAAAAGGAACTTGTAAAATATAACTAGCAAGCTTGGTGTCACACCAGTCTCTCAGACACCAAAATTCCACTCTGACAAGATTCTCTCTTTTTCTCATATATGTAGCCAAACCAGCTAAACTCTTTTCCACACAAGATAAAACATTGGTCTAATCACACAGTTTAGACACAGCTTGTTTCTTTTCCTTATAGATTCTCTCTCCCCACAGACTCTCTTTAAAGGTTTTCACACTTCACCACACTTCATGCTCCAAAGACACACAGAACACTGAACTCTGTCATAAAAACACACACACACAGAAATTCCTCTCAGAACATCTCCTCCCACACTCAGTCATCAACCAATCACAGCACACAAACCTCCTTGCATTACTTCAGTCAAACTAACATTTAAAGGAACACACACACATCAAAACAAGGAATCATTACAGGCTCAGCTCAGGAATATGAGGGAAGTGACAAGATCCCCTTCTTAAACTTATGCTTCTGAAAGTGGCACACAAGATGCTTTTGAAAGTTCAAAAACAAACAAAATATTTTATTCAACATAGAGGGGAAAGGGTAGGTGGAATCAGGAGTAAAATGTCCGAGGTGAATCAATAATAATTCTTGAGGTAACTTAGTAAATTCACAAACTCCAGTTAATATGTTCCCTGCAAGTGAGAGTTTTAAGCTTTTCACAAAGAATTAGAATCTTTGAGATGAGAGGCTGCTAGACACTCCAGTATAAGTTCTTGAGTTTGACTGTTCAGGTTTTAGAAGGCACAGTCCACCACACATGGCTTCCTTCAAAGAATACTGGGAGTTTGGATTTGAAGGTGTTTTTGAGAACTGTGCTTTGATCAATCACTCACAGAAATAAGCTTCCTAGAGCTCACTGAGGTGAACTGGTACTATATCCTAAACATACTACTATTATTTTTGCAAGCAGAAATCAAATAGACTAGAGATCATCCGAGAATGCAGGTGATTTGATGGACAAACGACACAATCCAACATTTGTCTTAAGAATGAGGGAGTAAAAAGGATGGGAGACTTCAACTGATACATTCTGAGAACATTCTGAGGCGAAGTGCTTACAGTGCAGTTTTAAGCAGTTATACCCTTTTAAATCCACTGCTGTCAATGAGCTTAGAAGGGTGTAACTCTGTTTAAGATTGCACTGTGAGTCAAAAGAACAAAGCTAATAATAACAACAATACTTTGAAGATACCTATACGCACAACCGAACAAAAGATTTATTCTTCACTTCAGCTGCATGTGGATTTAGCTCAAATGGAATCCTCCTTCTACTTATTGATTTCTACATGCTATAAAATATTTCCATTACTGTTTGCTTTCATTTTGTTGTGTCATAACCTTAATGGTGTGCTTAGCGTAATGTTCGATGACAGATAAAAATAATCAATTCGCATCTTCCAGAGAAAATGCTTTGAATTAGGAAACTGTTGAGTGCTTTACATGCTCTTGTGTTATTTTCCTCAAGTGATCTGGACCTGAAACAAAACAGCAGCTTCAAGTAATGAATAGCAATTCACAATCCCAAGGAAAATCACTGAAGAGAAGTAATGCTGTCAAAGTGATTAGATTAATCTCTTGATTGATTTTCCATAGCTTTTAAAAAATGCTGTAGAGATTTCCGCATCACATGGCATGTTGCAGGCTTCTTCTAAATGCTGTAGAAATCATATGTATTTCTTAGGGCAGAACTAGATCTTATGAAAGACACACGACTTCATCAAAAACTGCACCCACCCCTGTGTCTTCCCCACCAACATCTAGTAATACAAAGTGCATGATGTGACATCTTCACATTGCAAGTTGCAACCAGCGAAGAAGAGGAGTGAATACAGTGACATCATGGCACTCGTTTACTACATTATGAGAAAGGGGGGAAGGCTCAGGACTGCTGCTTTTGTACCCAGATGTCTTATTCTGGCCTTAGCAGTTTCTATAGTAATATGGGCTGAGTGGGAAACGGAATAGCTTGTTCCTGCACAAGGTTATGCCTGTTTTCAATGATGGCCGGTTTTCCTTGTATTTTAACCAATTCTGCTTAGTGATATGGACATATTCTAATTTCAGAGTTGTATTAGTCTGTTGCATCAATATTGTTGTTGTTGTTGTTGTTCAGTCGCACAATCGAGTCCGACTCTTCGCGACCCCATGGACCAGATCATGCCAGGACTTCCTGTCTTCCGCCGTCCTCTGAAGTTTGCTCAATTTCATGTTTTTTGCATCTATGACACTGTCTAACCATCTCATCCTTTGCCGTCCCCGTCTTCTTTGACCTTCAATAACTATATTTAAATATCAATATTATACAGCAGCTCAATAGCACTTTCATGTTTTCAGGGTGCTACTGGACTCCGACATTTATTCTACAATCTTTTATTGGTTCTGTATCACTTGCACTGTCTTGGCTTCTCTCAAGAATCCGATAAACTGTAGCTTGGTGAATTGCTGAAAATTCTGATAATAAACCTTCAGCTATCCCTAGCAGAACTGTACAACAGGGATCCCTGGGAAGAGGGAATTACTATTAAATTGGTTTAAGTATGTTACGTAGTTGCCCATCATTTCTTTTGTTGTTGTTTTTAAATATCAAATTTGTTTTTGAAAACAATTCTGCTTTTGTTTATATGTAGAACTCTATGCAATTCATATAAATCTGTACAGAGTTGTTCAAAAATGTTTTTTCTCTATATGTTTTGTAAATAGGGTCACCCAGGCAAAGAAGGCCAGTCTGGAGACAAAGGTGCCTTGGTATGTTTATGCTTGGATCACTTGGAAGATAAATGTTTGTTAAGTGACATTTGAATGTGCATTATTTAAAAGTAATGTAATATTTTTTAGGGGCCTCCAGGTCCTCAAGGTCCTATTGGTTATCCTGGTCCTCGTGGTGTAAAGGTATGCATATAGAATATTTTTGTTCGCTTCTGAATATTAGTAATTTTATTTTTATTATGAAACTGTTTCTTTAAAAATCTGCTAACTTTATAATTGCCACTGTTTTCTAATAGGGTGCAGATGGTGTCCGTGGTCTAAAGGGTGGAAAAGGTGAAAAGGTAACCCTTTAATTGCATTTAATTTTTATCCATTGTTTATATTTTCTTACAGAAGGTCAGCAATGATGAAATCAAGCAAGATGCCATCTAAATATCTATGACTTTAATTGTAGGAACAAGAAATTTATAAAATACTTCACTTGATCTGAATATCACTTCTCCAGTGGAAAACAAAAAACAAAACTGGAATCAGTCCAAAATTACAGTCATTATATTTAATTCCTAGTAATTACTGGGCTTCAAGACAAAACAAAACCTTGTCCCCGTTATTTGATAATCTGGCATTGGTTAAGAATAACTGGAATATTCCAAAATAATAATGGTGACATTCAGCTACCACTATGCCAATGCCGTACTGTGTGAAGCTTGAAACAGATGTCTGTTTCACACATACCACCTATCTGCTGATGTTATTTACTCAATCCATCCAGCCTATGACTAACATAAAGAATCTTCAGCATGCACAGAGCAGGCATAATACTTAAGTACGGCCCACAGCAGCAAATAATCAGGACACCACTGCAACTTTTATTTTATTTGTATTTATTTTGAGATTTTTATTCCACCCTCCCCAAAGTGGGGGTTTGAGACTCATTACAATAAAATCACATTAAAATAATAAAATCACACAGGGAGCAACAATTTCATATAAATCTGTTGGGAAGTAGAGCAGGGAGGCCAACTGAGATGGATGCCTGCCGCCTCACCCAAAGGCCTGGCGGAACTAGGGTTGCCAAGTCTGGGTTGGAAAATACCTGGAGACTTTGGGGGTGGAGCCGGGAGAGGGTGGGGTTTGGGGAGGGGAGGGACCTCAGCATGGTACACTGCCATAGAGTCCACCCTTCCAAGCAGCTGTTTTCTCCAGGGGGGCTGATCTCTGTCAGCTGGAGATGAGTTGTAAAAGCAGGAGATCCCCAGGCCCCACCTGGAGGCTGGCAACCCTAGGCGGGATGGCTCTGTTTTGCAGGGCCTGCTTAATGATAGATGATCCCGCAGGGCCCTGCTGTCCAGTGAGAGCTGTTTCCTGTTTAAGATCCTGTTTGTGCTGAGGTTTCTCCATGTGATTCATGGAGATAGATCTGATCATTTTAAACAAATGGCTAGGCTGAAATTTCCCTCTAACAATTTGAGTGGGAGTTTTGTCATTTACTTCAATGGTGTGTGGGTTAGACTGAGTGTAGAAATGTCAGAGGTGGAGAATGAATAGAATTCTTGTTCTTTTTCTCCTCCAAACAAGGTTAGCAATGTTTAATAGGGTGGTGTATTAATGGAACAGATATGGAACATTTAAAATTCACCTGGCAACCCATCTGGACACCTGTAGCAACATTTTCCCATTCTTGCTGGTACACTGAGTGTCATCATTTATTTGTGGTGTTAGTTGCCTATGGCAGCTATGGTCAACATCTTGGGTCAAGGGCTGGACACTTCCAAACTAAACTTCTGAGAGGCTAGAGTCATTTCCTCCTGATATGACATCATCCCATTGGAGCAACTTCATTAGACTATATATCTCCTTCTTCTGATAGTTAGAAGGAGCATCTGCCAGCACAAAAGGAGAAAAAATATCATAGCAGGAGGACATTTTCCTCCCCCAGGGGCATCTGGTCTCTGAGAAGTGGCCTTCAGTGCTGCTGTTGACCTGTCATTGTGTGGCCAGTCTTCCCTGAGTTGCAACTACTGAACCACCTGGTAGTACACCATTATAATAGCAGTTTCTGAAGAAATGTCTCCAGGCCCTCTCCATCAGCACAGCAGCCCTGGGATGTTTCTCCAATTGTTGTGCAAGAAAAGATGAGGTCCTGTTTATCCATTCTAACCCAACTGTTCAGCAATTTCATTGAGTGCCCACGAGTTCTTGTATTATGAGAAAGGGAGAAAAATATCTCTTTCTCTACCTGCTCTATCCCATGCATAATCTTGTAAACCTTGATCATGTCACCCCTCATTGATTGTTTCTACAAACTAAAGAGCCCCAAGTGCTTTAACCTTTCGTCATAGGGAAAGTGTTTCAACCCTTTTATCATTCTAATTGCCCTTTTCTGCACTTTTTCCAATGCTATAATATCCTTTTTGAGGTGTGGTGACCAAAACTGTACACAGTATTCCAAATGAGGTTGCACTGTCGATTTATACAGGGGCCTTATAATACTGGGTGATTTGTTTTCCATTCCTAATAATCCCCAGCATAGCGTTGGCCTTTTTTATTGTAGTCACACACTGTCTCGACATTTTCATTTAATTTCTCTTGGTCAATCTCTCCCCATCAACATGTATTTATAGTTAGGATTTTTGGCCCCAATGTGCATCACTTTGCACTTGGCCACATTGGACCCCATTTGCCACATTGACGTCCACTCGCCCATCCTCGACAGATCCCTTTGGAGTGCCTCACAATCCTCTCTTGTTTTCACCACCCTGAACAATTTCATGTCATCCACAAATTTAGCCACTTCACTGCTTACTCTGAACTCCAAATCATTAATAAACAAGGTAAAAAACATCGGACTGAGTACTGATCCCTGCGGTACCCCACTGCTTACCACCCTTCATAGAGAAAATTGCCCATTTATACTCACTCTCTGTTTCCTATTTATTAGCCAGTTTTTGATCCACAAGAGGACTTGTCTTTTTATCCCATGACTATTGAGCTCACTTAGAAGCCTTTGGTGAGAAACTTTATAAAAAGCTTTCTGGAAGTCAAGGTAAACAACATCTATTGAGTCCCCCTTGTCCACATGTTTGTTCGCCCCCTCAAAGAACACTAACAGGTTAGTGAGACACGATCTTCCCTTACAGAACCCATGCTGAGTCTGCCTCAATAGTTTTTGTTCATCAATGTGCACTTTGGTGAGAATCTTTATAAAAAGCTTTCTGGAAGTCAAGGTAAACAACATCTATTGGGTCCCCCTTGTCCACATGTTTGTTCGCCCCCTCAAAGAACACTAACAGGTTAGTGAGACACGATCTTCCCTTACAGAACCCATGCTGAGTCTGCCTCAATAGTTTTTGTTCATCAAT